TAGATAGATAGATAGATAGATAGATAAACCGTCTGAGATAGATAGATAGATAGATAGATAGATAGACAGAATATGTAGATGCAATGTACTTTTGACCATTTATTTAGATTTGATCTCATAGAAAAACCCTCTTCTCCATTAAAAATGAGAATTTCATAAATTCGAAACAAATTTGCAAAAAAAATTCACTATAAAAAAAGAAAATCACGAGACCAGACGCACCAAAAAGTTGGAATTTGGCTCCAGAAAAAAATATTTCCCCATGCTCAGTAGTAAGAAAAAGAAATTTTCTTAAGAAAGATTTTGTTTACCATGAAGTCCTATAAAACTAAATTAAAAGAAATTATTAAATCGCGAAGTGGGGTTTTAGTCGAAGAATTTTTCAAAACAAATCAGCTTATTCCAATTTCATTGAATGGTTTGCGAAATTGAATGAAACGTAAAGTTTGTAAATCTCGACAAAAAATGTTAGCGATGACTTCAACAATACGAAATACTGTAAGGATTTTAACACGCGTTTTGGAAAAAAGTATAAAAAAATTCCAAAAAATTCCATGCTTTTGTACAAACGTCGCTTGTCTTGATAAAAACGGCCGTGCTGATAATCAATGTGTCAAAACGAATGAAACGCAGCCTGCGTAAAAGGAATGCAACTGAAACGTGTGTAACATGATGGGGTCTTGATCATCTTAGAATATCCCGTTAGATGATTAGTTAATATAAAAAATTAATCAGTTTAGTATAATCTTTATGTCACACTTCTGTCACTCTGTTCATTTCCCATGGCAGGAAATTAGTAAATTGCATGAGTAACTATCCTGATGCGTTTCGCAAGGTCGGTGGATTCTGGATAATTCTTCAGAATGTGCACCATAAGATGTTCGTCAAAATTACAGTCATTTGTAATAAAATGTTCTGCAAGCTCTGTTGATGTCCGATTGTTGTGTCAGACATCATACTTGTGGCCATTAAATCATTTTTTATTATTTTATTAGCATTTTTGTAGAGCCGGTTCCAAACTACTAAAAAACGCTACGAACTATTGTTCCATCCCAGTGCTTTAGCCATTTCTTTTGGGAGGTGGAGATCAATATACATTCTGTTGTGAAAGAGAGCAATTCATACTAAGCTTATTTATAAGTGAGTAAGTTTAAAGATAAAAAGTACAAAAGACATGTGGAATATCAGCCTACTTAAAATGTTAATGATGGTTTTGGATTTCAATGTTATGCAGATATTTAATAAGCTTAGTTTAGAAAAGAAACGTGGTTTTTATCAGGACACGAATTTAGACTAATGATCTTGTTGGAAAACACGTCAATGGGCAAAACGAGAGAAGAATCTAGATTTATATTGGGACGTATCAAAAGTATTTACGCATAAAGTCTATCACATGCACACATCTAAAGACTATAAATACACGATATTATTATTATTAATGGTATATATTAGAGTGTATCAAAAGTATTTTCGTTTTTATAGACCTTTACTGTAAAGCTTATTTCATGTATACATCTATCTATGACTCTACTGTATTATTATTATTATTATTATTTAATATCCTCTGCAATTCTTAGATGTTTCGGTCAAGGGATAAGGGTCAAATCAGGGTGATTGCTCTCCACATGATTATTATTATTGTTATCATTCGTATATGTTATGTTTCCTGTTTTTTTATCCCGTTGAGTCGGGTCCAAACTATCGTCCTTCGGCGCTATAGAAGAACTGTCATTTAATTGATAGCACTTTTCTTAGTATATGGGGTGTTCCTAGTAGGGCGATCTTCTAGGCAACTTGTATGTTGATGTTACCTGGGACACTGTTAGTAAAACTGTCCATTCCTTCTCTCACGCGGCCCAGTGCTCCGATTACTATTGGTACAGTCTCAGTCTTCATTCCCCACATCCTGTTAATCTCGATCTTCAGGTCCTTGTATTTGGACAATTTCTCGATAATTTTCATGGTGTTTCTCTCAGATGGTACTGCTATGTCAATAAGCATACACTTCCTGAATTTCTTGTCTTTTATGATACCAGGTCTCTTGGCTTTTATTTCCCTGTCAGTTTGAATTGGCATGTCCCAGAGGATAGTTACATCGTTATTTTGGGTAACTGCGTCTGTTTAGTGGTCATACCATCTCTCAGTAGTTTCGACTTTGGGCTTCTTGCATATCTTCCAGTGCACATATGCCGTTACCTTGTTATGTTTGTGAGTATATTCATTTTTTGCTAATTCCGGACATCCTGAGATAACATGGTCGACAGTTTCATCATATTTTCCGCAGATCCTGTATTTCGGGTTAGTTCCATCCTTGTTTATTTGACATAGATAGGATCTGTTTGCGAGGCTTTGGTCCTGAGCTGTAGTAATTAGGCTTTCTGTCTCAGCTTTCAGCCCGGTGCTCCTCAGCCACTGACATTTTTTTTTGTGGTGGGGGGTCCACATCTACTTCTTTCGTTTTAGGTATTTGCCATACAACGCTTTGTCCTCCCAGTTTTTGTGGGGTTTTTTGTTTTGTTTTGTTTTTTTTGGGTGGGGGTTGTAATTTCATTTGGCCAAGTTGTTTTGCATTCTATTTTACTCGTTTGCCACAGATGGTATTCGATTTGCTTCTTTTTTTTCTGTTTTGTAGGGTTTCATGTATATTAAGCTGTTTCTTGAAGAGTGAAGATTCTTTGTTGATGGAGTGGATTTAGTGTTTTAGTATTTGTATGAGAGGGTCATTGATTTTTGTGAGGCATGATTCCAAACCGATTAATGTAGTTTTATAGTTAAGTTGGATTAGAGCTGTTTCTTAAAGCTTTTGGAACGTACAGCCTATCAATATCTGATTTCAGGTAGTTTATCCTCATTTGGGTAAGCATTTTTCTGGTTTTGGCGTCCAATCTTTTAATATCGTTCAACTGCCATTTAATAATGTTGAAGCTGTATGTTACTACGGGTATAGCTAATGTATTGATAGCCTTCATCTTATTGGTCCCACTAAGCTCAGATTTTAGTATCAAACGCACTCTCCTCTAATATTCTTTTCGAACCTTTTTCTTCATAGTTGAATGTTGTATTCCGTCTCCTTCATTAATTCCTAAGTATTTCTATGTACCATTTTAGTCTAGTACCTTAATCTTGTTGTTGATATCAAGGTCTAAATCTGTAGTTTTTGTTAGTTTACCATCTTTGAAGATGGCTTTGGTGCATTTGTCGATTCTGAACTCTGTCCTAATGTCTTCACTGAAGGTTTTGACAATGGTGAGTAGGTTTTTCTGTTGGTTGTCATCATTGGCAAATATTTTAAGATCATCAATATAGAATAAGTTTGACATTCTGTGACTTGTACCCGTGGCTACTGTTGTTCAGTAGGCAGCTGAGTGGCGCTAATACAAAGCAGAAGTGTAGTAGCGACAATGAATCTCATTGGAAGATCCCAATTTTGATGTTGACTGGCCTCGATGTTAATTATTATTATTATTATTGTTGTTGTTGTTGTTGTTAAAAGAGAGCAGTCAGCCAATAAAGTGACACTGGTTTACAAATATGCAAAGTCTATAAAAGCTATGCATCACAGCCAGATGTCGGGGATATGTTGACAGATCTTCATAAAAGCACCGTATAATCTTGAATGTGGAGTGCCGTGCCGTATCCCTTCAGGACGTAGGCGATCAAGGCCCTCCACAATTTCCTGTTCCTGGTAGTTCCTAATAAATTTTGCCTTCTTGCTATTTTCTCTAAACCCTGGCCTGCCATCTATTTACTCTATCCCATCATTTGTTTTCCTCTGTCCGTCTTTCCCTCAATCATCCCTGTGTGTATCAGATTTTCCTAGCCCCCTTTCCTCACTACGTCTTCCAGAAATTTCAACTGTCTCTTCCTCATGTTAAGTATAAGTTTCCTTTTTGTTTCCATTCTCTCTAAAACCTCGTTCAGTCCCTATGGTATTCTCAGCATCCTTCTGTAGAACCACGTTTTCTTTTGCCTCAAGTTTCTTCTTCATCTTGTCTAGCATTCACATGTAGGAAGACTGATATCATGTAACAGTTCAGTGCTCTTTTCTTTGTTTCTAACGAAGATTTTCGGTCTCTTAATACTCTGCTTAGCTTTAGAAATACATAGAAATACTTTAGATCGAATAACACAATCGGCTCCAACGCTCTTCAGTTAAGGCTAGTCTCAAGTATATAGATGTAATTCACAAGTTGCCTTGGCTCTCTCCTCTTCTTCAAAATTATGCAATAATAACTGTCCCGACACTCGGGTCTTCCATAACTTCTCTTGAACAGAGACGTAGTGCGTTAGTCACATAAGGTCATGACCAAATTGTTATGATCACGCAACAGTCATGCTGTTTTGCAGTACTGAAAGGATCATTTACTGCTACCAAGGCAAAAAATTGACCTGTTGAAAACCTCTACCCGGTTAAGATCATAAGCCATGTGAGCCATGCCTGCTGGAGCATCAGTGTATTTATTATTATTATTTAATTTTTTATCGAAATTTGATTGAGAGTAATAAAATAAACGTCTGTAGCAATTAAAAAGAAAACAAAATACACACATTAGTAATATATTAACAATAATATATTTATATGTAGATTATACTAAGACTCAGCAGCCATTCCTTCCGTAACTAGAGATCTAAGGTCAGAAATAGCAACATGACATTTTCCAATGAGCAATTAGAAAAACACTCACATATTTTACACAGATAAAGCCCTTCGTAAGGTGTGAGCTGTACTTGTGGGAATTATTATTATTATTATTATTATTCCAAACTATTATTATTATACTATTATCCCAAAAGTCATCCTTCAGAGAGAGCTGTGTGAGGGGTCCCGCCCAGCTGGAAGACCTCAACTCCGCTTCAAGGATGTCTGCAAACGAGACATGAAGCTGGCCGACATCGACCCCAACACCTGGGAAGCCGCGGCTGACAATCGTCAACTTTGGAGAGCCACAGTCAGAGACGGCGTCACGATTGCAGAAGCCGCGAGGGAAGATCAGCAGGCATCAAAGAGAGCCAGAAAAAAAAGCAAGGACAGCCTCCGTCTCCGTATCATCCAGTTTCATCTGCGCCAAGTGCCTGAGAGACTTCCGCTCTGGAGTGATACTACACAGTTAACAGAGGCGATATAACTCCATCGCCTAGCACCTACAGCGCTACTCCATCGTCTCCCGAACGAACGATTATTATTATTATTATTATTATTATTATTATTCAATCAAATACTATCCCAATATTAATATTATCCCAATCAAATATTCTAATGAGTTTGAACATAATTTAGATTTTAGAAAATGCCTCTTTAATCAAAAGAGAAAGTAATTTACGATGGCGAAAGTGTATCGAAATTTCATTGATCGTGAGATCATCTAGAGTAAATTTGAGTACAGCTTCTTACATTTCACGTTTCTTGGATGACCTTCCATTATCGCAATGTTAGCTACTTCATAACAAAAGTGATAAAAACCAAAAAACATAAAGACACTTAATGAAATTAGTTAGATTACATAGCCAGACACGTCTGAAAAAATTAATTTTAAAATTTTAAAATTCAGCGTTCCAACATTGTTTTAATCATTACACCCCATGCAAGTCAGTAAAACTTTCTTCCGTCAATGCCCGACCTGAGTCTTCCAATTTTCCATAAAGCGGCATAACTAGTGTTACTGAAATGACCAAAATTTTACATATATAAATACATACATACATGCATACATACACACAGATATAGTCAGAATATACAGGAAGAAAGGAATACAAAATGTCGACATGGAAAACAAAGACATACACACACACACACACACACACACACACACACACACATATATATATATATATATATATATATATATATATATATATATATATCAACTTCGATCAATGTCCAGATGAAAGAGTAGCACAATTAATGAAAGACACTTCAATGTATGATAAGCAAATGGCTACATTAGTGCAGGCTCATCTAATAACATCTTAGCGAGATGAACACCGGAACAGGATTGTGCGAAGGGCGAACCGTTACCAACTGTAGACAATAGATTCAGTGATTTAGATGGTAATGTCATTCCTTGAGAAAAGACTCGGCTTCGCAATAAAAAAGAGAGTCCTGTGATCAGCGCGTATAAATGTATATCAAATGAATGTATATCAAATGATCCGTAGGTGTAACTTAATTTACGCTTTAACCTCGCACAATTTCATTTGCACGCAGGCCGTACATAATATTTTGAACTTGACTTTGATATGAATCGTATAGGCGTCTTTCACTAAGAGTTACTTGCCGTGAAGAAAAAGAAAAAGGCGTTTCTGGAGAATAAGTCTGTCACGTACCGGTCAATTCTTATCATATACACGTGGACACAACAATTATGAGACATACATAAAAATACTCACTCGACCGAAATTCCTGCCATTTCCTTAAAACTTTCCGTTTCGTCGATGTTCGCAAAGTAGCTCATTACGTATATTGCCTTAATATACAATAAGAATTATACTGCAGTGATTTGTGTTTCAAATCCAATTCTAATTTTGGAGTACAACCTTGAATATATATATATGTGTGTGTGTGTGTGTGTGTGTGTGTGTGTGTGTGTGTGTGTGTGTGTATTTACCCTGACGATCCGTGTAGGTGAAACGTAGGTAGGTTTACCTGGCTCTTTAGGTTCATATTTAGGTTTGCTCAACTTAGTGTATTGAGCACTTTACATAGTTACTTTTGCTTTACTCGTGTTGAAGGTTTTTTTCTTTGGACTCTGAGCTTGGATTCTGGGTGATTGTTTTCGCCTCAATTTCATGGTCTTAGTTCTTTCTTTTTTTTATCCCTTATTTTCCCTTGGGGATTGGTTTGTTCAATTACAAGCCAAAATACCCAAGGTTTTTCCAAACGAGTATAATTACTATTATATATATATATATATATATATATATATATATATATATAGTACAGGTAATAAATCCGTTAGTATGTAATACAACCAAGTGAATCTTAATAATATCTAATATTAAAACTGATCCACAAAAAGAGCTCAATTTATTCATTATAACAGACCATATCTTAGCTTTCTTTATTATAATCTTGGCCTTCTTTGGAGCAGGTGAAGAGTTTTTCACTGCATAGATGTTGTCTCTGACTCAAAGTGATGAACACTGGGACCTTCAAGAAAACCAGCTGGGTCTGCCTCAAAGTCAAATTTTCCCGTAATGGGATCAGCTTGGCGCGCTTTTGATCAGGTGTCAGAAGACGTGGCACCCACTGAGGAGAAAACTTCGTCATGCCAAGTTTATTATGCAAAATATTCTCAACTCTTTCACAGGATATGCTAATAGCATTGGCTATCTGATTTACTGTCAATTGCCTGTCATCTCTCTCCATGTGGTGAACATAATCAATGCTTTTCTCGGTTGTGACAGTTGCAGGACGTCCAGATCTTGTGTCATCTTCAAAACTCTCTCTTCCTCCTACCTCCAAAATTCAGCTGCCCACTTTTGCACTGTTGATAAAGCTGGAGCTCACTCCCAATGTGAACCATATCAGCATGTATGTCCTTGGAGGCTAAACGCCTTTTCTGCGAGTACTTGATAAAGGCAAATATTGTCCATTTTCAAAAGAAGTCACTACTAGTTACTTTTGAAGTCTTCTTTGAACAGTCAGATATCAGTTTACCTGGAAAGAAAAAATGCAATTATTAATAAGAACTGAAATTAATGCATCTCACAGCCCTAGCATCATTGCACATGAAATTTTGATCCCACCCACGTATTTCAAGGTTACCTTGCAATTCAAGCAGTTCTTTGTGGCGTACCTTTTCAAGCGCTTTTGCATAATTCATAAAACATATGTATACCTCCTTTTATACTTGTATTGCTCTTTCTGATATCATTCTGAGTATAAATATTACATTCCTTGTTCCAGTGTCTTTAATGAATCCGCACTGTTCTTGTTCTATTTTCGGTCTGATTATGCTGCATGCTCTCTTCATCAACATTCGGATCATAACGCTTCTTACATGGCTCATTAGGTTGATCGTTCGATGGAGTTCACATATGTTTGCACCTGGCTTCTTAGACAGTGCTATAAAAATGGATCTACTAAGGTCTTTCGATATATCGATACTGTTTTATATTTCATTTATTATGTATGCAATCTTGTCAATGGTGAAATCATACAAAGCTTCTAGCATCTCTATTATTATTGTTATTCTGATTTTGCTGCTTTTATTCTGTTTAATTTGACCAATGCTGATTCCACTTCTGGTTTCAATATTTCTGGTCCTTCCTTATTTCTGTGTATCGTCGTTCTCCGGTGTATTCGTTCTGTCTCTGAAGCATTTCTTCCCTCTCTAATACCAATGTCACGTCCCTGGATTTTATGCATCTTGCTGATGAGCATGTTTTTTTTTAATGCATATCTGCTTTATCTGTGATACTAATTATTTCTATTTCGGTACATTTTTTGTTGAGCAATTCTTCTTTAACCCGCCTGCAGTTCATAATTTATTTGTGCGGACTGCTATATTCTGTGCCCTACCTTGGCACTGTTTTTTGTCTTTTTTTTATTATGTCGAGAATTGAATCTGACATGCATAGTTTTTTTCCTTCGTCTATTTTTCTTTGGGATAATCTCGATTGCTGATTTTACTAAATTTCTCGTCGTGTATCATTGAACCCTAACCTTAAACTTAATCCATTTTTCCCGCGTTCATTACGAGTTTCTATTCCAAATTTGCCAACTATTTTACCATCTCTCTCCCTCTCTCTTTAAGTCTAGGGTTAACCATTATCTTTTCCATATATGTTCATAAATATTATTTCTGAAATGACTGATTGGATTTTTTACGGTTTATCAACCTTCTGTGGGTTATTTAAGGTGGAAAGGTGTTTCGTATTGTAGGTGGTCGCTTCGAGCATTCGCAAGCGTAATCCCATCTAATTACTGACCAAGCTCAACACTGCTTAACTTTAGTGATCGAATGGTGTTTTAGCGTGATTTGTCACCGGAACTACTGAGAAACAGTTTTTTTCTTGACTACAATCTGTGATTTAATTTCCTATGATAAAAAACGCATAAGGAAAGATTCTTTTTTTTCAATATCTTTATTTATAAAATTTGATTTGTTGTCATTGTGTCGATGTGGACATGGGGAGAAAAAGTAGCGGGCTTTGCTATATGAGGTTGGAACTAAACTGGTTTATTGTTATTTTATAAAAAGTTTCTTGTTTACTGTTTATTGTGCTTTTTTCATTTTTATTGTTTTTTGTTTTTTTTTCGTCTCCAGGTTTTAATTTCCAAAACAGGGCGTATGTCACTTCTGCATGGACGGACGGGGTGGATTTTAATATTGTTGGCTTGACGGAATGCCAAGCCTTGCACTAATTAACTGGTCAAAATAGTCCCAGGAACACCTGGCGTGAAACGGCTATAAATCTTCCCGGCGAGTGGATTGAAGAAAAGGCCGGGGGAGATAAACGGGATGAAAAATGCGCACATGTCAACTAACTAACTGTGACCTGTATCGAGAATAGAATTCATAAGTTCAATCTATTTGCAAACTCCACCAACGCCATTAGAATAAATAATAAAAAAAAAAATAATAAAAGATAAATTGAAACTATAATAAAAGCCGAAGGAAACAATAATAAAAAAAGTAATTTTACTTGCTCGGCTATGATGGCTTCCGATGACTTTCCCATAGACCAATCAAATCAAATTATTTCGATATCAAGCAACCAATCATCTTTTGGTTATCTTCAGGAATAATCCTCGCGAATGTCTCGATCAGACGAAGAACTTATTCCATTGCTGGTCTTTAAGGTTTAAGTTTTGGAACTTTTAATATTGGCAACCATTTGATTAACCATCCCCTCACCACCAAACGTACATACAATTAAAACAGGCGTGATTTATTGACTAAAGATAAAAATCAATGCAGTTGAAGGACGAAATGTTGTTAGCCTTGTCTCTTTATCGAATTTGTTTTGGGAAAGCATCAAGATTTACCAAACAATAGCCATTGTCAGCGTATATTCATAATAAGAAAAGGTTTAATTAAATTTATATAAAGTTTTAATACGTTTTGTGGATATACAATACACACGTGTTTTTCTGTGTACAAATTGTTACTAATCAATTATTCCATGGGTGTATGATTATACTTACGTGTTTGTAGCATATTTAGATAGATAGATAGATAGATAGATAGATAGATAGATAGATAGATAGATAGATAAACAGTCTAAGATAGATAGATAGATAGATAGATAGATAGATAGATAGATAGGGAGAGAAAGAGAAACAAACTGAGATAGTAAAACAAAAGATAGATAGATACAGAGAGAGAGAGAGAGAGAGAGAGAGAGAAACAAACTGAAATGGATTGATAGATAAGAACAGACTGTGATAGATAGATAGATAGATAGATAGATAGATAGATAGAGAGAGAGAGAAAACTAAGATAGATAGATAGATAGATAGATAGATAGATAGATAGATAGATAGGGAGAGAAAGAGAAACAAACTGAAATAGATAGATAAGCAACAAACTGAGATAGATAGATTGATAGATAGGGAGAGAAAGAGAAACACACTGAGACAGAAAAAGGACAGATAGATAGATAGATAGATAGATAGATAGATAGATAGATAGATAGATAGATAGATAGATCACGGCGTTCTTCCAAGTTCAGTTGGTTAAAGCAAGTCAGATCTAACAGGTCGCATTGTTCTTTATTAAGATTTCCCGAATATTCACATCAGTAGACGAAATAAAATATTAAAATTAACTAAACGGAGCCTCCAGCCAAATATGGATATCCACTAAAAATAAAGTTTAAATTCATAAAAATAGATCTAAACAGACCAAAATAGATACAAATATATTAAGATAGATATGAAATAACTAAGACAGACACATAGATAGTTTAATAGAGGACTTGCATAAGTATTTGAATTTTTTCCAAATTTTGTAAAGTTTCAGCCACAAATTTAAAAGTATTTTATAGTTTTTTTTTTTTTTTATGACATGGACCAACTGAAAATCGTACATCATTTTGAACTTTGTAAATATTTCATGCGTTTCAAAATTATTTATAAATAAAAATCTAAAAAGTGAAAAATAGAATTCATGCCTCTTTACTGTGAAACCCGTAAGTAAAATCCAGTTCAATCAACTGCCTTCAGGAATCACATAAGTAGTAAATAGAGTTCATCTGATATTGATGTAAAAGAGTGAAAAAACGTTAAGATCCTAGATTCAATACGCGCCAGTTCAATACACTTGTTCTGTGAATGCCGCAGAAATTTATTAAAGAACATTACCGAACAGTATGATGAAACAATAATTAGACTAAATAGCTCACTAGACAGATCAGGGATAAAATTGTGGATACGTATAGTAGGATTAGGTTATAAAAATTATCCCATGTTAAATCCGTCATCCAAAAATGGAAATAGTATGACCCAACCTCTAACCTACCAAAACAAGACCATCCACTTAAATTGTTCAGCCAGGAAAGGAGAAAATTAATCGGTAATCCAACCAAGAAGTCGATGGTAATTCTGGAAGTAGTGCAAAAAGATCAACAAGAAGAATCTGTCAACAGGACATCTATTATTTGTACAGTCCACAAATCCGGCTTTTATGGAAGCGTTGTAACAAGAAAGGCATTGCTGAGAGAAAGCCATAAGAAGTTCCATTTTCAGTTTGCCACAAGAGATATGGGAGACTCATATAGCTCGGCGCTCAGGGTTGGACACTGGGGATCTGGGGACAGCAGTACATGACTGAAAAGTGTGGAAAATGATTGTCAATGAAGTTATGAGCAACCATAGAGAGGTCGAATGATGATGATGATGATGATGATGAGACATGTGGAAGAATTTGCTCTGGTCATTTGAGATCAAAACTGAAAATGCAAAACGCTACATGTGGCGGAAACTTAACACAGCACACCTCTCTGGGCTCATCATCCCCACCATAAAACATGGAGGAGACAGAATCATTCCATGGAGATGCATTTCTTCAGTGGAGATAGGGAAAATTGTCAGCAAAACAATGACCACAAATATACAGTTATAGCAACAATAGAATGGTTTGGATCAAAACACTAATGCGTTAGAATTTGGTGGTAAAAAGCCCAGACCTAAATCCAATTAGGAATCTGTGGCAATTTGACTGAACTTGCAAAAAAGAATTGGCAAAGGATTCTGTATCTAGATGTGCAAAGCTGGTAGAGATATACTCTAAACAGCTTGCTGCAGGAATTGCAGCAAGAAGGTGGTTAAACAAAGTATTTACTCAGGTGGGGTGGGTGAATACGTATGAAAACAGGAAATGACGTATTTATTGTCTTAATTATGTAAACCTGCCCTGATGAATTTTAGCTGGTACGCTCTCTTTAACCATTAATAAGTTCTGTCTATGTAGTTAACTTTACGCTGACACTTATATCGATATATTACTGAGATTATATGTGAAGAAAGAACATCACATGACCAATATTTAGTTTTCAATATAATCTAATTTTTCTGTTACTTTATACTTTGCCTAGCTTTTGGAATGCATCTTTTGCTATTCCAGTGTGCATTCACATTTTCAGTGTCTCATTTTCCATTCTCTGTTAAAATACTTCCCGGATATTTAAACAACTGTAAATTACTCATCTATGCATGTGTAGGAATACAAGAGGCGATTATCTCCCTTTGGTCGAGATGAAGTCACGTGGGCCATGTGACTACCGCTTAATGACGCCATTTCATAGAGTGACAAACGTCATCAGTCCATCAGTCAGTTTCCAGGAATCAAACCTAGCAGTCATTTTTTTTTTAGCACGGGCGACGCCTTGCCTCACTCTGACGGATTCAGTTTGCAAGCCCATTGGAAATATATCAGATGTAGAAATTACCTCCGTCTCGCAGTTCATTGTTTATCTCATGAGTGACATAGCAGATAAATCCAGCCCACTCGAATCCGAATCATAAATATGGCTTCTCCAGAAACGCAAAAGAATCTCCAATAGCTCTATTTCCGTTGGGAATTATTATAAGTAAAACCCTATTCTTTCGTTCTCTTTTCACACTAGTTGTTGTGTAGACACATGATATAATTTCCCTGTGTAAGACACGTGTAAATATGTTTATATCATTTTTGTATGACTTAGCAGTGTAAAAATCTCTCTGAGAAGAAAGCATGTTTGTTAATTTTCTTTCAGCTATTACGTTCCGTCCGTGAAATAAAGTATTATTGTATCATGGATATGATAATGAGTATAATTGGGGAAAAACACTAATGAGCGAATAAACTTCTTTTCCTTGGCCCAGCCCTTATCTGGCGACAACAACGGGACTTATTATTAATACCCCCATTAACTGGTGACATAAGCGACATGACATTATAATCACTCCATTAACTGGTGGTCCCGGCATGATTTCATCTCAACCAAAGGGAGATAATCGCCTTTTGTATTCATACATTTTTTTTTTAAATAAAGGAGAAGCAAGTCATTTGGACATTGATGCTTATTTGACATTTATACATTCCAAGACTGCCTCATATAAATGACAATAGCATATATTATTCTAATTTTACGTCCAATATCTCGAAAAAGATTTATCAGTGCTTTCAAAGTAACGCTAAAATATTTTTCGTAACACGAGTAGGACTTTTAATGTTGATTTTAGTGAACAAAAGGAGATAACTGGAAGAACGTAAACAAAATCACTAACATATTTTTACAAGCATCTCTCAAAAACAGCGATATAGATTTTTTTTTTTTGTATGGCACTATCATTTCTTCAACAACTGGATTACTTTTCATAAATCTGTTTCAGAATGTCGCCTGTTGTAAGAAATTGTGTCAAAAAGGAATTTAAAAATGGTTAGGTAAATAAATACATACAAATACGAAAATAATTAAACCAGTGAGTGAAGTTGTAAGTTAAAATAAATAAGCAAGCCAAAAAATAATTCGTTTTTTCTTTTGTTTTTAATTGGAACTGGGAGTGGGGGAATGAAATAAGAATGAAATTAATGGAGAGGAAAAAAAAAAGAAATAATTTGAGTGTTAACGATAAACATAATGGACCACCATGGTGTTAACTGCCTTCATTTCCCATTCGTTATTTTTTTTCTGCTAGTTCGATAGGGCTTAAATTACAGTGCCATTTTTAATTGTTAGTTTCCTTGTCGATTTTTTGCCTTCTTTTTTTGTTTTTGCTTTTCAAATACCACTGTTTACTAAAACTACTGAAAAGCATAACAATCTCTTGCCTAGAGAGGCACACTGTGAAAGCGATCAAATTGGCGAGACAGAGAAAGAAAAATGAATTTATCAAAAATGTCATAGAGAGTAGTATTGCCGCTGTGTACGCATCTTATAAATAATGTTTGTTCCCTTTCTATCCTGCTTGCCATCTACTACAGGGGGTGGGGACTCAATGACAGTCACTGTATTCCTCTGAGACCCACAAGGCAAGGCGAATGGAGGAGGAAGGATTATGGCATATGTAAATAAAGTTATAGAAAGTATACAAACTGCTAATACCTCACATGAAATCTCAAAGGCGTACGTATATACAGTTATACAACAAGCAATACAATTTTTTACAAAAACGGTACGGAGACTGTAATAGCGACAATTCATTACATTATTGGGACTATTGTCCTCATCTTTGTCGCCATATTTATTACAACGTTTCGGCCGTTGTACGCTCCGGCCTTCTTCAGGCGGTTGGAATGTCGAACTTAACCCTTTATTTCCTCAAGGTCACATGGCACAGTGGATAAAGGCGTTATTAAGATCCAGTGACAGGACCCAAAGAGTGTGAGTTCAATACCCAGTTAAGGCAGTGGATAACTTTCAGGGGGAAATTAACAGAAGATAACTGATAACTGATATCCATTAAAACATGTCACGTGGAACTAGAACAGTGTACACCAGCGACCGAAATAAAGGGTTCAGTTCGACATTCCAACCACCTGAAGAAGGCCGGAGCGTACAACGGCCGAAACGTTGTAATAAATATGGCGACAAAGATGAGGACAATAGTCCGAATAATGTAAATATTGTACATAATAACTCATCTCAGAAATATAGACAGATACTGACAGGCCGAAATGATGTAATAAATATGGCGACAAAGATGAGGACAATAGTCTGAATAATGTAAATATTGTACATAATAACTCATCTCAGAAATATAGACAGATACTGACAGGCCGAAACGTTGTAATAAATATGGCGACAAAGATGAGGACAATAGTCCGAATAATGTAAATATTGTACATAATAACTCATCTCAGAAATATAGACAGATACTGACAGGCCGAAATGATGTAATAAATATGGCGACAAAGATGAGGACAATAGTCTGAATAATGTAAATATTGTACATAATAACTCATCTCAGAAATATAGACAGATACTGACAGGCCGAAATGTTGTAATAAATATGGCGACAAAGATGAGGACAATAATCTGAATAATGTAAATATTGTACATAATAACTCATCTCAGAAATATAGACAGATACACCAATTCATTGTTATTAGTTATTGAGGTACTCATTTCCAGCGCCATTTTTACAAAATGTTATGAAGCTTTTAGAAAATGACTTTTGAAATTTACTGAGTTATTTATTGTCTGTGCAATATAACACATTTTTACAAGCCTCAGA